TTTTCTCTAAAATAAAGGCATTATAAGTAGAAAAATAAGAACTTTCTCTATTCATTAATACTTATATAAATATTTTAAGCTTTTACTCAGTTTTTTTAAACCAAGAGATTCATCCATTACAAGCTATCAAAACAAAAATATTGTATTTCACCTGTAACAATGCTAAATTCATTTCACATATACAATATCTGGAGGTCTGGGAATTTTCAATTCAAAGTAAGCACAAATCCAAAACAGAACGAACACTAGACATGTCTTTCCTATACATATTCCTATAACATACACTATTTCCAAATATTAGCACTCCCAAATCTCCTTATGTTAGAGGTTAAACTTCTTGCAGCAGAAACAAGATGATCTTTGTGAAAAGGATGCAACCATGCCTGTGAAAGTGTGAGTGTATAGCCACACAAACAAAATATGGGCTCTTTGTAATAGCAAAGATGGAGAGAATTCACTTTGAGGAAGTGGCAATATCAGTGACTAAATGGAAATAATAATTTGTAACAGCAGATTTAGAAAAAGAATCTTAAGTCTTCTTAGACTACCAAGACGTGGAAGAAAAACTGAACTTCACCATAAGAAACCTCAAATGAAGCTATTATATCCTTCAAACTATCTAATAAGGGTCCCAAGTGTTATCCAACTAAAGGAGGGAAGTAACAAAAGAAACAAGTAACAAAATTTAAGTTGATTTCAAAAGCTGTATTTTCAAGCTCAAATGAAGTGGTGACACCAGAAAGCCCAGATGTAAAGATCAGATGAGAAATTGAAAGCATTTGAACCTATCTGTAAAAGGACTGCCTGTGGGACATCATAAAAAAGCAGATGCCATCCACATATCTGAGGGGATGTCAAGGGTAAGGTCTTCATTGTATCATTAGAGAACTTCAAACTGTATTGCCAAGTAAATATTTCTGAGAATAACCTGAAACATGAACACCTCTGAATCCTTGTTTAGCAACTCTGAAGTATATATCCCTTAATTAACAACATATACTGAACATATTTGAAATGTTAGTCCAGACACTCCAAGAACTTAGATAATGCGATTGTCCAAACATATGCTTCTAACAACTTCATATAAATTTGTTTGCTAGTGGGTTTGCTACAGAGGAGTTACAGGGAAAAAAAAAAAGTTTCCCTCTACTATTTTGGCATTGACACTAGTAAGAGTTCATGATGATACCAACATAAAACTTTGCAACGCCTCTCCATTCATAAGTATTTCCCTGCACCAGTTCCAAGTCCATTTTGTGTACAGATTTATGACAAAGAACAAACAAGGCTACTTGCAACTTTAAAAGTTTTGAGCAGGGATAGAATTTCAATCTCTTAACTTCACAGCTTTCATGTACCTATTTCACATTTGAAAATTCCAGAAGAGTACTTCGAGGGTCTGCACATTACAAACACTACCCTTTAAGTACAGGCTACTACTCACTCACTGAAGTGCAGCCCAGACAAAATCTGGGCAAATGGCAGACTTCTAATAGCAGCATTTTTTGTGTATGCTCCAGTTGTAACTCACACAACTGGACAGTAAAGAATGGTCATTTGACAAACAAAAAGAAAACCTACATGAAGTTAGCCAAATAGTTAGTAGAGGTGGCTGCAGATACTTGCTCACAAGCCAGTGTCACATTTACAGAGTTGCTCCCTCAGCACTCCCTGTAGTCCATAATGTTCAGTCTGACAACCAATTTTTTGGCTGTGCAACACCAAAATTATCACCAATAGCAAATAAACTACCACTGAACATTCAGAAAGCAGTGAACTCTCCAGTGCTAAAACCACAGGTGTCTGACACACTGATGATTCTTCAACACTTCCAACTTCAGGAATGGTAGAGAAATCAGAAACTCCAGGTTTTCTTTTCTATAGAAGTTATTCTACTTCAAAACTGAGTGCACGTGGCAGTATAGAATATATCAATGCCAACTGGCCTCTCCACCAGTTTGCCTTTGCAAGAGGAATAATAGTTAACATTTATCACATGAAACTCCTCTGTATGTCTTGCCACTTGTCTGCTGTCATCCATGCTGAATCTTGTATTCAAGTGAGCAACTGCAGAATTCTTAATTCACTTTAAGCTTGAAGTCTTTTCTTTCACAGCTCCTTAATTAGTTGTTAGAATCTTCACAGAAAGAGAATCAACAAATAAACTCATCTGTATGCTGGAAGTTGAAGGCACATTTTATTCCAGTAAAGTGAACAAATGTTTCTTCTTGGAAACAGTTTGATGAAGACACAGTGTCTCCAAGATTATACCTGAAGCTCAACCTCTTCAGCAACCTGTTTATCAGCTAATTTCAGTACTCATACAACAAACAAGGCTGGTTTGGTGAAGCACTTGTCAAATCACATCCTCTCTTTTGTTCAAGACAGACTCCATTCTACCAGTCTTTCTTCAGGCTTCTTTTTGTGCAACTCAAGCACTCAGCAGAGGCGCATAAGCAGCCTGTCTGCTTACCTCTCAGAACATTTTCATAGTTTGCAATTCTATTGTGTTCCTTACTTAGGACACTCCTTCCAGTGCAAACAATTTCCTTGATGCTTATTTCTTCACTTAGTCACAGTAATTTCATCATTTACATCAGAAGTAATTTGTTATCCAGCTTTCTAAGACTATACTCTTCCCTTCATTTCTTCATGTCATTCCTCATAACCATTTTGCAGAACATGTTACCAGAAGAGGTGACAGTTTCGCACTACATTGGTCCTTCCTACCCTATCCTTGTGAGAATTTAAGAATTCCTCCAGCTGTAACAAATTTCCTCTAAATATCAGTTTTGGACAATAACAGGTGGCTATTTTCCCAATCCTCTCCTCCAGCTGTAACAATTTTCCTCTAAATAATCAGTTTTGGACAATAACAGGAGGCTATTTTCCCAATCCTAACTTCAAATTCACAGGTTTTTCTGTACCAGTTGGAAAACAGAAAGTAGACAATACACTTAACCAAGTTTGGCTGTAGCTAGCTAATACACAGTCCCTGTCATTTTAACCAGGGCAAATACATGACAAATTAAGATATAAAAAATGCCTCAAGGTGAGTTTCTTCTTCCAACTGGACAATGAACTCTAGTATAGAAGCATTAAAGTAGCTTGGGAGAAAAGTCAACAGGGTAAAAATAATTGCCACCAAAAATACAGTATGTCTGCAAATCTGTAGAATGAGGAGGAGTATGTACTGTGAAATCATTCATACAGAACCAACTCACAATCCAAAGGAGGGACAGAGCTACAAGCTTACTGTTGCTCTGATCCATTATCAAGCTGATGTTTGAATAGCACTAACCTTTTAATTCTTATGATGCATCTCATTTCTCATTCATCTATAGATCCCTGTTTCTGCTGTATTTATACAGAACATTTGGGAATGGACCTATGCTGTTCAAGACCTCTAATCTCAGAAGACAATGATGATATTTCCTCTTACACTACCTTGTAAACTCCTGAGCTTGTATCTATGCCCTCTTTCCTATTTCCAAACATCTCATCTTGAAATATCTCATCATACTCCAGAGTCTGTGTTTTTCTGTTCCTCCCATGCAGAATTTCTCATTTCTACTCGCAGATGGATAAGCAATAACATGTCCTGAATCAATCAAGCTTACATATATAGGCTTTGGGCCCTACAGATTTTCCCACTCTGTACCTTTTGATTAAGCAGTCTGAGTACAACATACTTTACATGCTAAAATTAAAGACTGAATGAATATACTAACACAGACATTCATATAGATGAAGAGGCTCAGCATATCCTACTTGGGAGTTTCTCAGATATTCTGAAGCAAATCTCTAGCTGTTCCAAATATTTCTTTCTCTGAAGAGGGGTGTCTCCTTTACAAATTGATGCAAACACTTAATATAATTAAGTGGCAATCTTTAGTCAGAACTCTGGCAGGATGGCCAAGTTTTCCTAAGTCCACTTAAGAGACAAAAGAATGTAAACCTGGAGCTACTACTTTTCACGTGAGCTACACATTCCAACAAGCACAACCTCAATAAATACCTATGGATTAGTCCAATTTCCATCACACTTCCTCTTTTCCTGTGTAAGTTTTTCTAGGACCTTGACCAGCTTCCACGATAGGATGTTTGTTTGCACCCTCTTCTAAGACGAAACCGCCTTTAACAAAACCAAGTGATCCATTAGACCTAGCCTAAGAGGGCTAGGGGGAAAAAAAAATTAAAAACGTTAGGAAAATAGTTTCAAACGGAAGTTTATTCCACACCACCTACAGTGCCATGTACTTTTCAAACACACTGAACACAGGCTATTGTGTCAATACATGAGCTTAACAAAACTTCCTCGCGGCATTCTTCCTTCGGCGCGGTAATTAGCAAGTAAGTGGTGCATGAATGCATCAGCAGAGCCATCCAGGCTGCCCATGGCCCCGACAAGTGTTGTTATTATTGCTCGGCCGCCCCGGTCCCCGCCCAGGCGCGGGGTCGCTCCGGGCCGAACGCCGCGCACGGCGGATGACACCTGCAGTACTCCCCTACGGCCGCGCTCCACACTCCAAACACCATTCAGAAAAAGTCGGTCCCCTCGCTACGTTTTTATGCCTTGCTATCAGCCCGTGTTCAGGGTTTCCGCCGGTCAGGGGCCAAAGCCTCCCCGCTCCCCCGATAACGGCTGCCCGGGCCCGCACCTACGGCCCGGAGCGGGAGGCCGGCTCTCACCGCCCCTCTCCATCCGCACACAGAGGTCCTGGGAAAGCACAGTAGTTCTGCCTTCCCTCCGACGTGGGAAATTTAAAAAATAACGATTAAAACAAACCAAGCCGAAGCACAAACCCGCCGCTAGCCTTGGCGCTAGCGAGCAGCTCCCGTCCCGACAGCTCCGTGCCCCAGCAGCTCCGCACCCCGCCCACGGCACCCGGTCCCGACAGCTCCCCGTCCCCCCAAACGCGGCCCACAAGCCTCCGGGTTGGAGGGGGCAGCACCCCCAGGCAGGGGCAAGGAGGGTACGGGCAAGAAGGGACACTTACTGGGCGTGCAGTGCAGGGGTGAGCCTTGCGAAGAGACGGGCGAGGAGGGAGGTGCCGCCGGCGGCGGCTCCTTGAGGGCGGCGGCGGCCGCGGGGGTCAGGACGGGGGGCAGCATGAGGTACCGGTCCGGCTGCGGCAGGCAGCGCTGGCACACCGAGTGCAGGCAGGGCAGCAGCTTGGGCCGCCGGCTCTGGATAGGCTGCCCGCACACGCCGCAAGTGTCCAACAGGTTGAGCGGGGCCGCGTCCCCGTCGCGCTCCGCCGGGCCCTGCCGGCTCTCGGCCTCGTTCTCCCCGCTCAGCGCCGCCGCCGCTACCCCCGGTCGGTCAGCCGGGCACGGCCCCCCCGCCGCAGCCGCTGCTGCTAACGCCGCTGCCGCCTCTTCCATTGTCCTGCGCCGGCGGCCGCCGCCGGAGAGCCGAAGGGAGGCGGGGCAGCCTCGCCGCTTCCCGTCCGCGACGCCGCCACCGCCGCCTACCGGCCCCCGCCCCGCGAGTGTTCGTGCGCCCGCCCGACAGCAGCGGCCCCGCTGCGCCGACAACGGCCGCCCGCGGCCCGCCCCGCCCGC